ACACACACACACACACACACACACACACACACGCTCACACAGGGCTTACCATAAAAGGAGAATAGCCGCAGAATTCTTCAAAGCTGGTCCATCGGTTTGGTGTAGATTCATTGGCCATGTTTGTAGTCCCGCGGGTTCCCTCGTGACAATCTTGGTGGTCCCCTGATGACGTATGCGGACAGCTGCGAGGAAAAGAGGCTTTGGCGAGGAGTATGGACCCTGTATTGAGGAGAAGAATGTGCATGTAGGTGCTTTTACGCTCTCATCGACACAATTTTGATCATTTTGGAAGTGGACTTCCGAGCTTGCCGGTCAGGGCCAACCATGGCTGAGAGAGATGCGACATCTCAGCTGAAAGACCGAGATACTTCCCACTGGGGGATCGAACTGTGGTCTACTGTGTGTGATTGCGAAGCGCCTAGCCGCTATACCACAGACGCCGGGCTGGGAAGAACAAAGATAAAATAGGCAAAGTAAGACAGACTTTTCTCACAGTCAGAGACGGCTTTCCTTACGAAGAAAGGAGGTTCTGGCCGGGGATACTGACAAAAGACCATCATAACATCATCCGCAATGGGTTTGTGAAAGGGTATGCCCTACCTCAGCCTTTGTCCCTATACCGTGTAAAATTAAATCAATCCTTTCACATCTTGTAACATGGCTGGGTTCTACATGTATAATAATAAATAGCATTTGTATAGCGCACATCCCCGCTCAACAGCAGGCTCTATGCGCTTTACACTATAATATTATTATTACCCCAGCAGAACATAGAACACCCCGAAACATTCTCAGCTTCCCGGGATACTTTGTATACTTTGCGGGCTTTCCTGAATAATAGTGAACGGCCATAAGTCTATAAACAGATATAGTTCTAGACCATGATTTTCGACCGTAGAGTAATACCGGGTGCCCATGGACAGATTGGGGGCACGTTTGTTTTTAGGCAACTAATCAGGTGATCTACCTGACCCCACCCGACCTCATCTGCAATGGGCACCCGGCTCTAATGGGGATCGGGTAGGACAGGCATTTGATTTGTGCGTTTCAGAATTAGGGTAGTCAACACTATGCCGGATATATTAGTTGAAACCAATTGGTAGGACAGTCTGTCACGCTTGCCCGCCCTAAATCGAAATTAACAAATGACCCGCGAATGACCCCTTTTCTTGTTAGATTTCGAATATCACGAAAAAAAAGTATTTTTGTTGTGATTGCATCATGTATCATTTTCTTATCAAAAAGATGTTGGACAAGTATCATTTTTAAAAATTGAAAATGTAATAGACCTCTTGGGAAGTATGGGGGGTGGGCTTCATCCGAGTAGAGTGGTTTCGTTGTGTTGTGTGATGACTCAACTCGCCACGGGACGGTGAGTCGCCAAGCAGATCAGCCCACAAATCTTAGTACAAATGTACTTATCATTCTTGATAAGCGGTCTGGTTGAAAACAATAACAATAAAAAAACAACCCTGCATCGAAGAGAAAAAAAGTTTGCTAAACAGGGTACATACAACTCAAATCAACTTAAGCGCACACATATTGAGAAGGTACAGGTGCAAACACAAAACCACAACTCCCAAACCAGCCAAACCAGCTATCTATCTATCTATCTATCTATCTATC